GTTCAGAATCAAATGTTGAATTTTATTGTCATGTATATCTCTTTAGTCTCTGTTAGTCTGTAAAGTTCCAAAGTTTTTACTTGACCCTCACGACTTTCACACTTTTGAAGCTATCCTTCCAGTGAATTGATGGTATGTCTTGCGGTTTGGATTTGCCTGGTGTTTCCTCATAATGAGATCCAGGTTGTGTATCTTTGACCATCGCAGAACTGATGCCGAGCTCTTCTCATTGCATTCTCTCACCTGGGGTGTGACTTTAGGTTGTCCCATTACAGATGACATGGTGTATTTTCCAGTCTTCTCCACTGTAAAGTTATTCTTTTTCCCCCTGTAATTATTGTGTGAGGGGGTAGTTTTATGTATGTAAATATTCTGTTCCTTATAAAACCTTTAATTCATTTATTTATTTATATCTGTATAGATATACATGGTGTCCTGTTTGATTCACCAGGTTACCATTTGTTACTATTATTAGCGACTTTGATATTCAAATTGTCCCCAGTGTGGTCAGTGGGAGACCCTTTAAGCCAGAGTCTACATTCTTTTGACATGTCTCTATCATTCTTTGGACATTTTTAAACTTTCTGTCATAAGATGCTCCTGGCTTGTTTTCTACTTTCTCTACCCCAGCCTTGGGATCATTCATTTCTTCAGGGAGCCCTGGTCCATTTGAGTGGAAAATGCTATTTAGAAACCAAAGTCTGGCAGTGCTAAATGTGTCCATTACTGCTGAGGAATTGCTGCTTCAAAGTCCTCCCAGTGGGAAGTGTAAGGAATTTATGTATGTACATACATGCACTCATACATACTCACACACAACATACACCCATGTACTTCTATATCTCTACATATGAAAACCATGAGCTCACATTGATCCCTCCAATTCAAATCCAACACTGCTAGGCATATTCTAATTTTTGCTCTTCCCACATTTTATACTCTCTTTTCTGACAGAAAGAAACCTGCTTTCTATTGTCTTTACCATATTAACTTATTTAATCAATCTCCCATGTACTGAGTTCCTGTTTCTACTGCCACCCTCCCTCTGCACCCTACTTGAGTTCTGTCTCCCCTCCTGAGCTGATACTCCATGTGGATGTTCTCCTCCTTCTACTGGGACCCCATACCCTACACGGGTGTCCACTCATCCTGCTCAGAGCTCTGGCACCATACACCAGACCCTTCTCTGTGCAGATATCTTTCTTGCCCCGCATAAGCTCCATCTTCACATGCCAGACAGCTCCTCAGTGTGGACTCCCTCTCTACCTGACACCCTCACCTGGCCCACAATGGTCCCCATCCCCTCTTGCCCTGACAGGTATGGACCACCTACTTTGTTCATCCCATCTAACAGCTTTAGGACTGAATTGTTCAGGAAGGAAAGGGGAGAGATTCAGCTCCCCTTGCATTTATCTCTCAGCCAGATCTCTCTTTTCATATCTGTCTGCTAGTTCATTTGTTATTTGGAGTCCACGTTATCTAGACTTTTATGCTAGAAGCAGGTGTTTTCCAAAATTTACTTCTATTTCCTAAACCATATATTTTTTCAATGGTATTTTTCTTTGCAACTCAAATACCAATTTCTCATTTTTAAAAAATTCCACAGAATCTTTTCAAAGGTCTCCTTAAGATAGTTTTCCTTTCTGCTTATTGACTCTTACATAAAAATCAATTTCCTTAAGGCTGATGTTTGCCTACAGAAAGACCAACATTCTTTCCCCACCCCATTCCCACTTCCCTCTTTGTCATTCAAACTTCTTTTTCTTTAGTTCTTGTCTCAAATGCCATCTCTTAGGTTCTCCACCATTATTCTACACAAAGTAAAGTTCTCCAACTTTTTGCTTGCTATCTTAGCATCTAACTTATTTCTTCAGAGCACTTACTACAAATTGTAAAGATTTCATTTGCTTATTGTTCATTATCTCTCTCTCCTTGGAGGAAGAAAGCTCTATGGGGAGCAGACATTTCACACAGCAGGAAGCCTGACCAGTCAATAAACATGGGAAAGGATACCGGCCTCACCATTATCATACAAGTGAAACGCCGTTTCTTGCATCCACCAGATTGGTAAAAATTTACAAGTCCAATAAAACTCAGTGTTTGCAAGAATGTAGAACAATGGGAACTCTACCATAGTTGCTGGGAAGAGTATAAATGGTTATAAGAACTTTGTAAGATAAATTTGGCACTATCTAGTGAAACTGAATATATGAATACTTACAACCTCACAACTCCACCCAGGCATGTACGCAAGAGAAACTCTTGTACATGTTCACAACAAGAAGGAATATACAACTATGTCCATATGCTTAAAATAAAATAACTTAAATACTTATTAACAGCAGACTAGATGCAGTGGAGTAATGCAGCATTAAAAAATGAACTACACCCACATGCATCAACATGAATTTTGAAAACTTTTGAGTGAGGAAAGCAGGTCACAGAAGAATATTTATAGAATGATTGTCTTTATATGACAGAAAAAAACATGCAAAATTAACCAACATATATTCTTGGAGATACACACGCATGGAGTAAAATTATAAAGAAAAGCAATGCATGATTAATAAACATGCAGGATCATGGTTAACTCTAGGGTCAGTGAAGGAGAATGTGTTGAGAAAGAAACAGGGGTTCAAAGGTTTAGGTGTTCTTCTTACACTCAGTGATAGTATTCACTGTTTTCTTCTTTAAACTGCACATACATGTTCCATACACTTTCTATACATATGATCTGCTCTACAATTTATCAAGATTTCTGTGAAGCATCAGATGTGCCTCTCTCTCACTCACTTTGACCCTCACATCATGTCTTTCCCACTGGAGCCTGCTGACCTGGACACAAATAAACTGCCTCAGATTTCTTTTATTTATTTATTTATTTATTTTTATTTTTTATTTTTTTGAGTCAGAGTCTCACTCTGTCACCCAGACTGGAGTGCAGTGGCCGCTCCCGGCTACAGCAGCCTCGACCTGCTGGGCTCCGGCGATCCTTCCGCCTCAGCCTTCCAAGTAGCTGGAACTACAGGCGCGCGCTACCATGCCCAGCTAATTTTTTAAAAATTTATTTTAGAGATGAGGTCTCGTCAAGTTGCCCAGGTGGGTCTTGAACCCGTGGGCTCAGGCAATCCACTCACCTCAGCCTCCCAAAGGCGCGGGATTACAGGTTGAGCCACCGAGCCCGGCTCAGATTTCTTTTATAAGGGCACTAATCCCATTCATGAGGGCTCCAATCTATGACCTAATCACTCCCCAAAGACCCAAAGGCCTAATACTATCACCTTGGGGGTTAGGATTTTATCATACGAATTTTGGGGGGACACAAACATTCAGACCACAGTAAGGGCCTCACATCTCATCTGAGAGGCAGAAGGAATACTGCCAAGAGTATGTCCTGAAGTAAATGTTTTCGTGGGAAGACTTAGTGAGGAGAACATGGGAGCAATAATGGCCTGGAGCTGTGCTGAGTCTCCTTTACCTGGTCCTGGCACAGGTTAGGGCTCAGGAATAAGAACAAGAGACCTGGCCTAGCACCAATGTAATTTCACAGTGAGTCTGTCAACATCTAAATGTAATAAAAATAATCATGGTGATGATAACTATTAAAACTACAATTTATTGAGTACCTTTTATACTTTGTGCCTGGAGCTAATGATTCCATACAATATTTCATTGAACTCTATTAGGTTAGGTTAGGTACTTATAGTATTCCCATTTTGTGGATAACAAAACTGAGACTCATATATGACAGACAAGTTCACATAGCTTATACATGGCAAAGCTAAGATTTGAACCCAAGTCTGTGACTTTGGAGTCCATACTCTATCAGTACATGGGAAAGTCATAAGCCAAAATGACAGAGCCTTAAAGCCTGGATCCTATTAGTGGGGTGACAGGTGTACCCAACAGGAGAGGTGTGTAGACTGAGGCAGATGGAGAGGGCAGAGCTTAGACCATAGCTCCTGGGAATGGTGGCTGGAACTGATTAGGCTCTTGACATGATTGTGTCTCTCTGTCTCTTTGCTTCTCTGTTGCTACGTCTCTCCAGGTGTGGGGCTGAACACACTCAACTTTCTATAAGTGCATGCATGACGCAATAGCACTTTATAGTCACACCAGAACTGAGGGAGCCGAGCTCTGTGCCCAATTCTATCCACATCATTTTGAGCCTTCTTTTGCCCTCATTTTTTTTATTTATAAAATGAGGGTTAGAATACACTTTACTGCCTCACAGAATTCTTACAGGTCCCAAACTCCAAGCCTGACACTCTACAGGTGAAGAAACCAAGGTCTCAAGAGTGAAAGGGACCTGCACAAGGTCACACACAGCTGGCTTAAGTTGGAGTCAGACATAAAATCCAGCTTCCTTGATTTCCAGTTCAAGTATACATAATGCTCTGTAAATTGCAAACATGTGCATCATTTCATTGATGGGCACGAACTCACAGAGAACTTTCTGTAAGTTTTTCTATGCAATCGCACTATAACAAAAATGAGAAATCCCCAACTTAGGATTCTTAGAAGAAAACAGGCTGCCAATGAGGACACACCCACCCTGAATTGTTCATGTAATTCTGACTTGAAATCACTGTATCTTCATTTGTGCACTAGGATTCCATGTGAGGCTAGCTGAGGCCCTAGATTTCTTTGGAGAGGGAGAGGCTTCTAGAAGGTGCGAGGGGACAAGCTGGGGCATAGGCATATGGGCAAGCCAACCAGTGAATTGATATGAATGAGTGCACTTGGCCAGGATCAACTTCCTGAGTCTCTCTACCCTGGTAGTGTGGAAGAGGAGGAGAGCTTGCATTTATGGAATCTTGTGCTGGGAGCTCTCATACAGGCAAATATATTTAACTCTCACAACTCTGGAGACACTGAAGCTCAGAGAGTTACTCAACTCACTCAAAGTCACATGACCAATGAATGGTGGAGCCAGGAGTCAAGCCCAGCCTTGACTTGAGAGCCTGGCCCTTTCCACTAGGCTAGGCTTCCATACTGACCAGAGAAGGCTATGGCGAAGATTCCCCCTGTGGCTGCATCACGGTGGAACTTGAGCAGGACCTGGTTGGATGAACTGTGCACCGTCTTCTTGGCCATGCTCCGGCTGAAGATTCCAAGCCGTGGAACTGTCTGCTGTGGCCCATCCCTGCAAGAGGGAAAGATAGCCCTGGCATGTCACCAGTCACTGTGGCTGCCTGCTTTACCTGGTACCATCAGTGGCCTTAAGAGAGACCAGAAGTGGGTGGCTGAGACTCTTTTTGCACCAACAATTCCCTCCCAATGCCTTAAACACCTTCCTACAACCTCTCCCAACTTATTTCCTGACACAGTTGACAGAATGGGTGAAAGTCACACTGGTTTCTTATTCACCTGCTTATTCACCAGCCCAGTGGGCTCCTGGGGCAATTCAGGCACTACAGAGCAAGGCTAAGGGTCTTACTGTGGGTCCTCTCAGTGTGGGGCAACAACAGGACATGGCTGCACAACTGTATAGGAATTCCCTGATGCTATCTGTGCCAGCCCTACTTCCTTGTTCCTCCAGAAAAGAGATAGATCCATGCTGCCTCTGGGGGTAAAGGATTTCTTTCTTGGAAGCTTCTCTAGTCCCTCCCATCTCTTCTTAGACATTGCTTGGAAATCAAGCTGGAAATTAACCTGGGGCAAGCCGGTTATGGTTATCCAGCCTTGAAAATTTTGGAAGAGAATTCCACTATCCCCTGATTATTCCCAGAATGGCAGTAACCTCCATCTAAAGGAATTTTAAAATTATATCTTTGTCCAAAGATCCAGTGATTTGGGAAAAAACTGTCTGGGAAATTGCACTTACATATTAATTATTTTCTCATTTAAAAGTTAACTCAAATTATAATATATATAACTGTACAACTCAGACTGAGCTATCCAATTCTGTAACAACTAGCTACATGTGGCTGTTTACATTTAAATAAATGTAGATAAAATACAATATAAAAAGCAGCTCTTTGGTCACTAGTCACAGGCAAGTGCTCCATAGCCACATGTAGCCAGTGGCTTCCACATTGGACAGCACAGATAGAACTCATTTCCATCATGCAGAAAGTTCTGTTGGACAGCACTGCTCAGCACAGGATGACCAATGGGACTTCACAAAACTCCATCTCAAACCTCTTCCATTTATCTCTCAGGGACATGTCAAATGTTGGTTTGAACTCCGGAAGTACTGAGAAAAGTCTGTATATAATGCCCACTTTCACTCACACACCCATTGGTTCTTTCCTGGGCCCAGGAGAAGCGCAGGCTGGGAGCTGCCTTCCCATTCCTCTACCTTCAAGAAGTCATAACGACCAGTTGAAGCCGAGCCTTATTCCACTATGTTAACTTTAAACCCAGGAAGCTGACAGCTGTTTAAAACCACTCAGTTCTTGGTTCTCTGAAACAATAGTTAACCGGTGGGAAACCCAGTGTAGAGCCCCGATAATGCTCCTTTCTAACTGGCCCTCGACATGACACCTGGCCCTACCAGACGGTGATGAGGTCTCCAGATGGCTCTGTCTGCAGCAGGCTGAGGTTGAGGCGGATTCCATGGCCAATGGGTACGGTGATCAGCCAGACACAGTCCTGGGAGCTGGAGTAAGGGCTGGGGTACCCCGGGGAGTACACAGTGCCATTGGAAGAGGTGATGTTTCCACCACAGGGGACTGTCAGGGAGGGAACACAAACACACAGATGAGTGCTAAGCTCACCACCCACCTGAGAATTCAGATGCCTTCCCAACAAACTCCCAGCTCCCAGTACAAATCCCCCATCAAGGGGTTCGGGTGGGATGGGGGAGAGGTGCCTGGGTTGAGGATGGGTGCACCTGACTCTACCCACCAGTCCCTATACACCACACCCCTCTGGCTCTTAGTCTTTACTGCAGGCCTCTGTGGGCCTGCCTCAGCCTCCCTCTCTCTATTTCTCATGAAAGAGGCCTACCAAAAAGGAAGGATGCACTGAAGCTATCCCCCTGCCTTCCCCAGGAGTGGGAAGGGGAAGATGTTAGGGTCAGGGCTGCAGTGCCTTTGCCACAAAGAGCTCAGAAATTAGGCAAATATCTCGTTCTTTCTCTTGGATTTGCTCTTCCTAGAGCGGTACTTTTCATCTAGACTTCGAGTTGAGGTTTCTTGTGGTAAGTCTGAGGTTGGGTTCAAATCACGGCTAAACCATTGATTGACAGATGCCCTTAGACAAATAGGTTAGTCTCTCTGAGTCTTCATTTCCTTACCTGTAAAACGGGACTAAGAATACCTCCCTTGTAGGATTGTGGTGGTGATGGGGTGAAATGAAACACGTAAAGTGTTCAGTCCAGGTTCCTGTTCACAGAGGGGTCATGCGCTACATAGATATGATTCTCTCTCCTTATCTCCCTACTTCCCAAAACAACATCCATTTTAGACTCACTCTGATTGAGGATTCAGGCATGGGGGTGAAGAGGTCTTATAGGCTCCAAGGTGTTCAGACTCAATCACCAGAGAGGAGAATAAACAGGGATGCTGGACCAAAAAAAGCCCTGACACCCTGGTGCAAAATAATGAGCGGTTTAGGCTGACATGGGGCATCAAGCAGATGTCTGGATGGTGCAGACTGGGCTGAGTAGAAATAATCCCAGCTGCCTCCAAGCAGAGGGCAGGGTTCTTGTAAATGCAAATATATCCTGAAAGTGGTGCACAGGGATACACCATCCCTCCACAGGTACTGAGAATCTCCTCAGTGCCAGGCACAGCCTGGAGAGACAGAAGGAAGCAGGACACTCCAGTTCTGTCCCATGATACACACACTGCTGGGTCACAGCCAAGTACACCAGCATCTACAGCACAGACTGGGGTGTGCCATCATTGTGGAGTGCACAGGGACATTTGGGAGAGCTCCTCCTCTGGTCCTGTGATAGTAGTGAAGGATTCCTGGTAGAATTCACATTTAGACTCAGACCTAAGGGATGACAAGAGATAAATGGGCAAATTAAGAGAAAGGAATGTCATATGAAGAAGGAACACTACATGAAGATGGAACACGATGTGCCAAGAACCTGAAGCAAGAAAATGCGGCACACTGGACAAATGGGGAATATTTCAGCTCAGCTGGAACATAAAATCTGTGAGCCCTGAGCGATGTGGCGTGTGACAGTAGGGATTCTGGAATTTACCCCAAGGGAGATGGGGATGCCTGGCTGGCTGCTGAGCAGGCGAACATCATGTTGATGGCTTCCCCGGACCATCCTCACTACCTTGTAAAGAATGAATGGAGGAGAGTAAAGACTCAAAGTTGGTTCCATGAGGAGTGGAGTTGGAGCAGTGAGCCTCCTTTAAGTGGTGGTCCAGATTCAGGTACAGGCAGTGGACAGAAAGAAGTAGATGCCACTTGAAGGATAACTATGACGTAGAAAGCAGGACTTGGTGAATATGGGAGAGAAGCAAAAGGGATGGTGCCCAAAGTAAAGACTGAGGACCAGGTGACTAGGATATCACTAAATGGGGATTTCAGTCCAACAGCAGAGAGACGATGAGTTCAAGTTTAAATATTTCAGGACTTAGCTGCTTCTGGAATAAGTGAAGATATTTAGTAAGCAATTGGATATGCTGGTGTGGATTTCAGTAAAGACACAAAGGTTGCAGATACAGATGGCATTTAGGGACGTGGAAGTGAATAGAAAAAGAAGAGAAGAGACTTGAGAAAAAACTCCAAAGAACAACAACATTTAAGGGGCAAAGGGAAAGTTGACCAAAAAGTAGCACAGGCAGAAAGGTATTTGAAAAAGCAAGAGAATACAGCCAGAGAAGTCAAGAGAAGGCTTCTCAGGAGGGAGAAGGGCTTCTGGCTCAAGATGGCAGACAAAGAAGGCATTGCTCTTTTCTCTCTCCTGTGATGCCATAAAAAGACACTACGAGTGAGAAGGGAATAAGGGGTTAAAGTCCACAATGAAGCTTGTCGCCTGGCACATTATTAGCCAACAATTCTAAAATGATCAACTGGTTATGCACAGGATATTTCTGAACATCTGAAAGACTGAGGCTGTAATAGTTTTACAAATTACAGTTTTCTATTCTAGTGTCAGAATAGCTCAGTTTTGTAAACAAGGTCTCTTTTCCTGTGGAGAGTTAATACTGAGAGTTTACATCTGTGCATGAGCCATCTGTGGAATTCTCCAGCTCTTATGAAATACAGATAAGTCCCATTTTACCAAGGAAGAAACTGAAGCTGAGAGAGGAGACATGGTTAAAGATGGAGCTGGGGGTGATCTGATCCCAGAGCTGGGACACTCTTTCTTGAGTTACTGTTCTTGCCAAACCTTCTCATTTCGTGACAAATTCCTGCCTCTCCTCCAGGAAAATTCTGGGCTGCCAGAATGAAAAAGGAAGAGAAATGGTACTGAAGTGTGCAGGTGAGAGTGGAGGCAGCACAACCTTTCGGTCATCCTCCATCCCAGTTCTGGTTAAGGAAGAAGACCCAAGAAAGTGCCACCTTCAGCTTGCTGATATTATCAACTCAGCTCTCTCCAGACATATGTAGGAGGAAGGGTACAATGAGGGTGGGTGAAGAGAGGGGCAAGAGAGATCTTAGAAATAGTCTTCATTCTCTTCTCCCTTTGGGAAGATGCCTTGATGAGCTCTATCTCTCTACCTCCCAGCACATCACTGGGCTCCTACTCCCTCATGTGGAACTTTCCCTTCCAATTAAGGCATCTATCCCCTTAGGGTGAATTCTCCCAAGGGCTGGGTACATCTTCCCCTTGGCTGTGGCCCACATCTCCCTCAGGTCCTCCTTAGTGTTAGCCCAGAGGTCTGTCACCAGGGGCCTCTCTCTGATGAGGCTGGGTCACACCCACATGAAACTAAGATGGGCCATGGTTTGCTTGGACCTCCAGAATTGGTGATCCCATGGAGTAGGCTCATGGGAGGTAGTCTGCTCTGGACCCATCTTTATGACCACCCCAAGAAGAATCCAAGGATGAGGGAGGGACATACCTTCACACCTGGGCAGAGGGTGGTCCCAGTTCCGGTTGGTGCCATGTTGACATGTGAGGACAGGGTGGCCAATCAGTTGATACCCTGGGAGGCACTCAAAAGTCACTGATTGTCCCACGTTGTAGCCAGCTCCCCTCACAATGCCATTGGCAAAGGGCTCTGGGTCTGGGCATTCTTGAAGCTCATAGGCTGGAAAAGATGGAAGAAAGAAAAGGTCACCTCATTCTCTCTGGGATGTCTTTCTCAACCAGAATATAGGAGCAGCAGAGAGTTAGCACTTGGTGAAGCACCAAGACTTGGGCACAGATGGACCTTTGTCATTTACTAGTTGCTAGCTTCTCTATGCCTCGGTTTCTTTATATTTATAAAAAAGGTTACTGTGGAGTCTAAGTAAGATAATATATGCATAATTCTTTGCACAGTACTGCACATGGTGAGCTCTCAATAAACAGCATCTGTTATTAGCATTTCTATAGGGAAAGGAGGCTCAAGGAAGACATTGCTAGAAAGAACCACTGTTCACTGAGCACCACGGGGAGCCACGCTTTGGCTTAATTTCTTTCATGTCGCTCATCTCATTGAGGCTTCACAGCAAGAATCAAGATCCCAGACAGAGGAAGCAGTGAAGAGAGGCTTTGAGCAGACTCCTTCCAACTCGGAGAGACCAGAGCCCATTAGGAAGGAAGAAGTCTGGTGGGAGCAAGCCAAATCTGTGGCAAGGAGAGAAACTTTTCAGAGGGAGTAGCTGGGCTAGAGGAATGTGTGACTGTCATAAAGCAAGTCCCTCCAAGGAGCAGGGAAGCTGCTTCCAAGAGAGTGGGTGGGCCCTACTCAACAAGAGATGCCTTTATGGAAGTGGCTGAGGCTGGGCCATCAGGGAGAGGCCGCTGAGGGATTCGCTGAGCAAAGCTTTCAGTTAATTGGGTCCACAGGATGCAGAACAGTCTTCGTGGCTGTAATTGGGCCCACCTTGCAAAGGAAATTGGCAGTGGGAGGAGATGGAACGTTCCTACAGTGGAAACTCTCAGTGGAAGTAGATGAGACTGAACGGATGCTCCATGGAAGTAGTGGAAACCAAATGAACGCTCTGTGGCAGTGGGTGCACTTATCAAGCATAACAAGAATATGAATAATGATGATGTTGAAGCCGACATTTCCTAAACACTCACTCAGTGGCTACGTTAGTATCTCCATGCAATATCGCACAGGTATGTCTCAGTGGGAGGAAGTGGGAAATCACTGAGGTACTTGGATGTGTCTATAACTGAGCAGCCACATAGAAGGGTGTGATGGTCAGTCAAAGGAGAGGTTTGGCCCTTTCTGCAGAGGGGATTTGGGTGCTTTGATAACAAAAGTCTAATTGGAAGCAGTGAGCCTTTTGCCCAGGGAGGTGACCGAATGGGATGGATTGGGCCTTTCAAGAAAGCCCCAGCAGGAGCCATGTGGACCCAAAGATGGTGACTGGCCTAAGGGGAGTGGCTGCATGTTAGAAGCCAGGAGCAGCCTTGGTGAGAGGAGCTGGATCTCTCTGACAGGAATTGTCTCAAGTGGAGGGATCTAGGCTTTTCAAAAAGAAACTATAAGGAGTATACCTCTCCTTTCAAGAGTACCTAGATACTGAGAAAAATCTTGGCATCTGTTACCCTGGAGAAGCTTCATAGAGAGAAGTTGGCTTACAAGGCAGAGATGAACCCTAAAAGGAGGAAGCATCAACTTTGCCAAAGAAGGACTCCTTAAGGACAGCAGATGGGTATGCCCCAGTCAGACATATTTTGCTACAGTGGGGACACACTGTCAAAGAAAGTGCTGTAGTCAGACAGACACAATATCAAACAAAATGCTATCATTTAAAACATTAATAATGATGATGATGCCTAACATTTTGGAACAATTATATATCCTAGTCAGTTTGCCAAGTTCTTTATAAACAACGCTTCTGGAAGTTGCAGTAGCTAAGTTAAGTATGTCAGACTGGGATGCCTGGGTAGGAATAGTCTTAGCCCTTTGTACCTCAGATGTGACCTTACTGGGAGAGAGCATCTTTGCTGATATTACTGAAATTAAAATGAGATCATTAGGGTGGGCCTTAATCCAATATGACTGACATATTTATTTAAAGCAGAAATTTGGAGACAGATATGCAGGGAGAACACCAAGTGAAGATGAAGCCAGAAATGGAGTGATGCCTCTATAGGCCAAGGACTGCCAAAGACTGCCAGCCAACCACCAGAAGCTGGGGAGAGTCCTGGAATAGATTCTCCCTCACAGCCCTCAGAAGAAACCAACCCTGCTGACACCTTGATCTTGGACTTCCAGTCCCAGAGCTGTTAGACAATAAATTCCTGTTGTTTAAGCTACCTGGTTTGCGGAACTTTGACTTTCTATGATGGGTGCTATGATCTGAATATTTGTGTTACCTCAAATTCATGTGTTGAAACCTAATCCCCAGTGTCAGGTTATTTGGGGCTGGGGCCTTTGGCGGTCTGCCCTCGTGAATGGGATTAGAGTGATTATTAAAGAGGCCTGAGAGAGGACCTTTGTCCCTTCCACCTTGTGGGGACACACAGGGAAAACAAGCCATCTATGAACCAGAAAGCAGGCCTCACCAGACATGGAATCTGTCAGTCCTTGTTGTTGTTTATAAGCCACCAGGTTTATGGTATTTTGTTAAAGCAACCTGAGTTAACCAACACAATGTGCTCACAAAACCATCTATAATGTTTTAATATTTTTACAAGTATGAATTGGTATTGGGGAGAAAAATCTTAAAATATTTTTAGAAATTCAGGGGGAGAATCTGGGAAAGGGGTTAGAACAAATGGTTCAGTCAGTCACAGTAGAATCATCCAAGGCAGAAGTTGGGCCCACCACACAGGGGACGCCTGAGTCAGAGTGGATGGAGCTCTTTCCAGGGAAAGCACCAGGAAGAGTATGACCTGTCGCAGGATTCCACCTCAGGAAGGCAGAGTGCAGTAAGTGTGGACGAGCCTCACACAGGAAAACCTTGTCTCTTTGTGCAAGGTGTAGTGGGAGCTCTTAGGACTGTTACTGAAATCCTCCATCCTCACAGAGGACGAGATTTGCTGAGAGTAATTGGGCCTGACATGCAGGAAAGGACTGAGAGGGAGGAATTCAGTTTATCAAGCCTGAGGGGAAGTGGCTGACTGGATGCTCAGGGGCGCCTGAGAAGAAACAGACGGGCCACTTGCCCAGGAAAGCTGTTGGCTGTCAGGTCTGGATGGAGGGGGATCTTCAGAGGATACTTCTGGGTCTGCCACTCTGGAAAAGGCCATGGAAGAACTTAGGCTATCAAAAGGGGTTAGAGAGCTTTAGGGGCCAGAAAGATCTGCTACCATAGGGAAGTAGACGGGCCTGCTGCCTCACCTCCACATGGAAGGCTGGGAAGATGGGTGGGTGGGGCAAGAGATGGGGATGGACAGAGGAGCAAACATGGCCCTTCTGGTCCTCACCCTGATACTCCAGCTTGAATCCTGGCCGGTTCTGGGAGTGGTCGCTGTGGAAATACAAGGTGGTCTCGTGGGATGTGGAGAGCAGGGAGCTCGGAAGCTCGCCTCCACTGAATCTCCCCATCATGCGGCTGGTCTCGTAGGGCCCATTCCGGATTTCGATGAAGTCATGGTTGGGCTCGGTGGAGAAGTTCAGAAACTGGATGTGTGCTCCTGGGAGCAAGATAGAGGCAGACAGTGCTCAAAACAACACAATCCCACTTCAAGTGTGCCACCTCAGGGAAGTGTCTCCTACCAGTGCTGACTTCCCACCCACCCACTGCACCTAGAACATGCTTTAGGATTTGCTGGTCCAACAAAGTCTCTTGTCTTCAGACAGGGTTGATCTTAAACATATATTATTCATTCAAAAGTAAAGGCATCAGTCATTTCAAAGCTTCATTCTTGTCCATTTCATTTTACTGAAAACAAAGGTCAGGGCTAGCACTTGTTTTAATTTGTGATTCACCTGTCTAGTATTGGAATAAAGATAGTTTTGCTAAAATAAATTTTTTACTTAAAAATCACACCCCCATACTTAATCAAAAGACATGACCTTCAGTACTGCTATTTTCTAGAACCTTTAAAATAATTCAGAAATATATGACTTAGAAGTATACATTGTCCCCTCTGTTCCATTAAAAGGCCAAATAAGGTTTTACATGATGGGATCTTAGTGGGTAATTGAGATCTCCTAGTAATCTAACAGGCTAAATGAGTCTAATTAGGCCCTTAATGTACATATTAATATACTCTTTTGAGAACAGAGGTGGGAACATTAATATTGTTTACTGATATGATTTTTTAAAATTAGATTACTATGACAAATGCTATTGAAGACGTATATTTATTGAGCATAGGAAAATGCCTACAGTGTATTATTAATTATGAAAAATCAGATTGTAAAATAGTATGTAGTATATAATTTTAATTGTTGCATTCCAAAAAACATTGAAGAATACTCATTCATTTGCTATCAGTATTTCCTGAGCATGTGCCCTACATCAGGGCTGTGCTGGGCATCACATGAATAGACAGGTCAAAAAGGTCCTTGTCTTCACGAGACTTACATTCTAACGTGGAGGACTAAGCAGGAAGTTATAATCTCTGCATGATGGGACTATAGGTGGGTTTTCATTTAAAAATTTTTCTCATCTGTACTTTCTAATTAGCTCAAAATGTGCACAGATATGTATAATTCTTTTGTATCTGGTTATTTATTGAAGAAAAGATTTGACACTTAATGTTGAAGAACTTTCATCTCCTGACCCATTCCGTTCTTCTCCTTCCCTCCACAGAAGCAATCATGATCATGAATCTGTAGGATATCCTTCCAGTTCACCTTTTTGGATTCTTGAATATATATGTGGGTGTATGTGTTTTAAATGGTATTACACTATACGTACACTCTTTTAAAACACAATATTTTGGTTTTCAAGGTCTATCCATGCTAATACACAAAAATATAGTTCATTCATTTTAACTGTATATTAATTAATTCAATTTTATAAATTATCCATCTGCACAACTCACTCCCCTACTGGTGAACATGCAGATTGTTTCCAAGTTGCAGGTAATTCTGTGATGAGACTCTTTGTGCATATAATCTGTACAGCCTGTGTTTGACACTCCACGGCCCATGCATCACCCCTTACACAAGAACACAGTGGATTGCACGCCTGGCAAAGGGGCTCTCAAGGACTGCAGTTCTGAACTGAATTGTGATCGCCATCTAGTGGAGCAGCATGTAAATGCAATGGCTCTCTACCCATGAACCCAGGTGCCATATTAGGGACCTCATTGGAATCCAACATTAACTTGAAAGCAAGGGATCCTGGCCTCTGTGACCGGATCCTGCAGTAGGCTTATTCCCCAAAACCTGAACAAGCACCCAGAAATTAGAGATGGAGAGCTCAGGTGGCTGAACATATGGACTTACAGAGAACAATCATTTCATTTAAACTTCTGTTTACTTTTGAATGTTGCCCTTTCCCTACTTTCTATCAGCTGAGGTCCTGCCTCAAGGCAGGATGCAGCACTATAGGGTTTCCCAGGTTTTCCTTCCTCAGTGTCTTAGAATCTGGAGTGTCTCAAGATTACCAAAGTTGTCCTCACTTTGCATTCAGTTTCCTTTAGAAGATGGTACTAAATAGAAGACTCCATCCTTTGGAGGGTCACCACTCTCCCTTTCCCTCCAAACATATTTAGAGAAAGCCAGTTAGACTGCTTTCTCCTGAAAGTCCCCTCTCTAATCAGAAGACACACTCCAGGCTGAATAATAAAGGACACAATTTCGGAGACTCACAGACTTGGTAATCCCAAGCCTGTTCAAGAGTAATCCCCTTGGGACATTTTTTTCCTAGAAGCAGAGCAACGGCTTGGGCAAGATGGCCTATGTGTGCAGTCCATTGGTTTTATGACAGCACAAAGTCTTTATCCCTTCAACAGAGACATTTGGGGTTAAATTATATTTCTAGTGCCTAATACACAGATCACCAGCAATTAAATTTTGTACCCACACCAATGACCATCTCTTGACAACCTCCCATGCCTGGCATACTCCAGCTCCAAGAGAAAAAAACAATTCTCCCAATCTCTAGGCCAGCTAGAATGTACACATGAAGAATGCAAACTTGATTTCATATTGACCTTGTCTCAATTTAATCAAGATGATCAATCGGACACTGGAGTTAAAAGTACAACTTGAGGTCCAGTCTCTGTAAAATAGATTTCTTCTCTCTCTCTCTCTCTTTTAACCATCCCTGAGTAATTTCTCATTCCCCATTTCTGGACTTTAGTTATTACTCAAACCATCATACCAGATGCCATCCACAGAGGGTCACCAACCTCTCTCCTCCCATCCAACCAGATTTAAAGAAGACCAGTTAGACTGTTTTCCCCCTGAAATCCTCTTCTCTAATCAGAGAGATTCTCATTTCATATTCCTAGTTTTAGTTCATTATTCAAACAATAATGATGGCAACCCTAAGATTCCCCCACACCCCGTACTTTCGTCTCTGCCATTCTGAATTAATCCTCATGATCATACAAGAGGTCAACAGATGAGGAGGTAGAGAGTCGGAACGCTACACTGACATGGCTGAGGTTATGCCAAGAGCTACTGACACATGTTGTTTTCAACTCAAGGGCCTGGGCATGAAGCCCCTGTCTCCTTTGGGGTGGGGGAATACTTACCAAAGCCCACAGGCAGTGCTATTTTCCAGGAGCAGTCCATATTGCTGGGATAGTTGCCTGGGAAGCCGGGGCTCAGGATCACACCCTCCATCTCTTCCACTGTCCCCCCACATTGGGCTGCGGCAATGAGACGAGACAGAAGGTTGGGACCACATTGAGGCGTGTATGGGGCCATGCCAATGCTTGGAAGCACCCTTAGTGCAGCAGTTTTTCACTTTTCATGAGTCATAAGTCCCTTTGAGCATCCAAAGAAATCTCCCTTAAGAACCGCATGCATGGGCAGAACTGAGTATGTAAATTCAGGAGGGGAAGCACATCCTAGAACTGTCTAGATATCCACAAACCCAAGTTATGAACTTGACGTTGAGCATGCCCTTCATAGGTCAGTTCCCTTTGTGAGGACACTTGGAAAAGTAAAAATGGACTTCATCAAGAACAATCTGACCACACTACCCCCAAAATCTCCTTCTCCCCACTTTCCTATTCACTCTTCCAAGACTGGAGAAAAAGAATGAAGGAAGGGGACTGACATGCACTGTGTCCCCACGTGTGCCAGACACGATGCCTGGCTCTTTATAAGTCTATGTTCTATGGGTAGGGTGGTCAGCAGGCGAGGGGCACCCTCAGAAAAGTGACCATTGTGAGCATTCCACAGGAGCCAGCCATGAGGCAGTCTGAGTGACCTGAGGACTTGGGCACATCTGACATGCCAGTCAAGGTGATTTCAGGGTCATCTGAGGATGAAGAGATAGGGCACTAATGTGGCCTGGTCAACTGACATCAATTATTTTCTTTTGTATCTTATTAGGAAAAGGTTGTGTGAACAGAAAGGGGTTAGACTGTTATAGAGGCCCAGAGACAAGACTGAAGAAGAGGGATTGGCAGGTCCGGTCGAGTGACTTCAGGGTAGAGGGTCGCTTGGCAAACAGCTCTGAAAACAGTGCAGAGCAGGCTCCAGCCTGGACTGCCTGGGCCACAGTTCCACCTTCACTTCCTGTGGGACCCTAGACAAGGTCTAATCCCCTCCAAACCTCAGTTTTCCCCAACTGTAAATGGAGCTAGTGACAGCACCTATCTAACTGGGTTGTCATGAGGCTATATCAGAAAGGACTGCAGTTCTCTTGGGCCAGGGCTGGCAGATGTAGTAAACTCTCAATAGACAGCAGCTGTTGCCAACATAAATGGTTTCCCTGCGAAGTCCTTTGTAGTATATAATGGGGAAAGTGCCTTGGGCTGACCAATCATGTTTGTGACTGGGGAAATCACAGAAGGAAAATGCCATTGTGCCCAAGTGGCACCTTTTCGTCTCCTCCTCACTTCCTACCCCACGGCCAGCCTTGAGAACTTTAGGTTTCCATTCCTGACTCTGTCACTTTCTTTTTAATCCTAAAAGACTTAGATTTCCTGTTTGCAAATTGAGGTAATTGTACCGTCCCTGAAGAGCTGATGTGAGGAAACATGAAATTCCGTGCCTAGCATAGAGAAGATACCCGATAAATATTCCTTTCCTCCTTGCTGACTGGACCAGAAGTATCGAGGGGGGAGGTGGGGAGGTGGGGAGGTATGGGGAGGTTGGGGGGTGGGGACACCCTGTCTTGTATCTGTTGACCTCCTCATTTTGCTGGAACAGAAGGTAAGACATGAAACCAAGCCAAGTCCTTGTTTCATGTGTAACCCTTGGCATGTCCTTATTAGTGAATTTATCTGTCCCAGGGACAGATACACTTATTAAGCCCAAAGTGTCCAGAAGCTACATCTGGGGTATGGCTGATTATCTGGAATCAGAATGGTCACCAACGGGCAAAGTTCCTGTGATTTCTCATTTAGTGGGCAGAGGTTTGCAAAAGTCATGACATCCTTAAATGAGTGTTAGAGATGATCAAAACATCATTTGAAAACTACGAACTTGGGACAAATTCAGAATATCAACCTTTCTTCTGATTTGAACTTGAACTCAGAGATATGCCACTGAGCTCTAATCCCTGGGAGAAAAGGGATTTGAACGAACTGAGAGAGTCTGGGCTATCTTACCAATACAGAGTGGAGGAGGGTAGTTCCATCGCCGTACGGTTCCAGGCATGCAGGAGATGTGGGCGTGGCCCTGTGGGAATCAGGAACAGAGATGGGCTGGATGCCCCCATGAGCACAACTGGATATACAACCCAGCACAGGGGGCTTTGCTCAGGGGCCTTGCGTTAAGGAACAGGATACACAGAGACACACAGACCCACTGTGGGATGGGGGAAGGCAGAGGGAGAGAGATTTTTGGGAAGGACAATTATTAACAACCATTACTAAAGAATTCTCATTACTAGAGGTTTCCTTGTGAGACTCCTTTAATTACTAAATTCCCTGATGGCCTTCAAAGGGAAATTAAATTTTCCTAAAGGCGAATCAAACCCAACTTTGCAGGAACACATTGGAGGCTGGCTTGTGCCAAACTGGTCAAGTCAGCAGAGTTTGTCTTTTGCATGAGCAGCTCCAGGAGCCGATAATGGTTCCTAGGGGAATTGGGGGCTGCTCCCCGCTCTTCGGTGACTGTAAATCTGCTGGTGCAAGGCTGGCCATGACATCTCAGGGGACACCTGTTTCTTGTCCTGGAGTGTCAGGGGAGGTACCTGAAGGGCATATCCCGGCTCACACTGGAAAGAGACCACATCGTTCACCAAGTAGCGTTCTCCAGTCTTCACCCCATTACTGGGCACCGCAGGTTCTGGACAACTACTCAGGCCCACCGCTAGACAAGACAGAGACAGGCAGATAGGAGGATGGGCCAGCCTAGCAGGTCAAGGCAGCAGTAGGCTAGGGCGATGCTGGTGGCAGGGAGAAGGGATGCCTCTGATCTGTGCTTTCTTGGCCCCTTGGATGGTACTTCCCAACCCCCTTCACCTTGCTGCACACAGAAAAAAAAAATTTACATGACCCTGAGGCTCAACAGATCAAAGCTCCTTGGGGCAGGAAGGTCACCTCAGGGATGCTGGGTGCCCTGCCCATCCACTGAGGTCCAAGCTAGGAATCTCTCCAGTCCTGAAGACCCGCAGCGCTCTCTGCCAGGGACTCCTCCCACGTCATTCCTGCCTCCTACTCTCAACTTCCCTGTCTTCCTCACTCTAAGAAGACAGTTCCTGTGGGCTAAGACATTGGGAAAGAGGCAAGAGAAAGGCGAGGAGGAAGGAAAGCAGTGAGCTTGGTGATGCTCAGGGGCTTGGTTAGAGTCCCACTCTGGGAAGACTGTCCTGAGAAGTCTGCCAGTAGCTAAGACTTTCCATTGCCTTATTTCTCCCATTGCATTTTCAAGACCAGGTCAGCCCCTTTCTGGGCAAGACACCAGTGGCTCCTCACACTTCATCTCCCATGGTCAGCTTTGGCCTCACTTAGTACAGGCCTCCCAACAGTCCCCCCCATCCCTACCACAAATCACTGCTATTCCAGTTCATCCTGCACTCACATGCAGCTTTTCTTAAAATCTTTCCCTGAATCATGGCACTTCCTTGCTCAGCAATTTGAAGTGGGTCCCCATGGCCTATTATATGGAATCTAAGCTTCTCACCCTGACATTCTAGGACCTTCAAGATCTTGGCCTAGTCCCTTTTCAAGATCATCTCATGGTCCCTGAACACTCTTCCCTCACTTTCCTTTACTGACTTTTAAAATTCAACCCATGTTCATTTATCCTCATTATAAACCCAGCACTATACGAAGGGCTCTGCTAGAGCATCCTGCTTAATCTTCCTCCTCCTTCTCCCTGCCTGCCCATACCATCATTCCAGGAATAATACACACTGAACACTTCCCATGAGCAAGGCTGGGGCCAGTGAGTCACACATGTCACCTCACACTCTTTAAGCAGGTCTTAGCAACTCATTTCACAGATAAGGACTCAGGCCAAGAGAGGCCCAAAAACATGGCTGTAGTAAGTCACAGAGCTGGGATTCAGATCAAGCCTAGTCTGACCTAGGTTTCCCCAAGTGGAGGCCAAGTGGTGAGGTCAATGAGCTCATGCCTGCCCCTGCCCCTGCTCTCCCTGCCTCCTCTTCTGAAATCGCCCTCATCCTGCTCTGAATCCCTCCTTGGCAGCCTCCCACACAGGAAACAGGAATGCAGTATCTCCTTCCTGGGGGCTTCACTCTTTTCCTGTGCCCTGCAAAAGCCCACCTGCAGGTATGGGCACTGCAGATGCACGAAATACATTTCTGTGTCTTGCTGGACTGGACTTGGAGCAGACTCTCTGGGGCTGGGGCCAGAAGGCTCATGAGGAGGCAAAGGGGTAAACTGAGTCTTCCACCATCTCCAAAGTACTTTCTCCACCAAGGGTGGCAGAAAGGAGAGGAAGGTGGATTGTGTATTTGGTTCTGACCCTGGGCATCTGTGTGTCCAAGAGAGTTTGAGAAATGGCAACCTTGGCCTTCTGGTGGCTCTTGTGGGAGACACAGGGTCCCTAAGGAATCCACCTGCATCCAGTGCCTACAGGGAGCCAGGGGCTCATGGAAAAGGGATGGGGAAGGAATGGTCAGCCTAGGCCGCTAGCCCCTAGCCTATGTTCTTGTACAGCAGCTAAGTCCTCAGGCCACATTCAGAGATGAGACTTTGATAAGTGCATGTGCTTATTTATCTTTCTGAGGGAAGTTTACCTATAATGGAATGCATACTTTGTATGTGTACACATTGTAGTCATCAAGTGTTATGGTCATGATCAGGAGTATACATGTGCTGGGTTTGACAAACGCTTGAACCTCTATAACCCAAACTCCTATCAAAACCACAGAACATTGCTATCACTCATGCTCCTTCCAGGCAATTCTCATCCTACATGTGCTTTAAAGATGTGAATGTGATGTTTGGAAATGAAGACTGTTTGGGCCTATGTCTAACAATCTTAGCAGCTGAGACAAAAGACTCCAAAGACAAGCATTCAAACAATCATCAAACTGAACTTGAAGCATTTCATCTTGTCATCTTGTCTCTTGCTCCCCATAACTCCTCGTACTCTAAGCAGAACCAAACTCAGTATTTAGTGGAATGGTCACAACTTAGTAACTTGAGACCTACTTCTGGAAAGGCAATAATGAATAGAAGAAGGAGGGACAGAGACAGAGACAGAGTGAGAACAAAAGAGCATGGGAGGAGGAAAAATGGAATGGGGAGAAACATGACGCCAGAGAGAGAAGCCAGGAGGGAGACAGAGAAAGTCCATCCTAATTTCTCTTACGCTGCCCAGATTGATTTTTTATTTAAGTCATACTTACGACAAAGAAAAAGATAGTATTTTATCATATGTAATTTATTACTTTTGAAAGCATATAACTCCATTTTATTTCAATTAAATAAACATTAAATACGCGTCACAGCAGTAGATGTCATTTTCAGTGCTTTCCAAAACCATTTGCCTTCATAATAGCAGTTAATTCTCTATCTTCTGTGCTCTTTAAGTAGACTATCCTATGAAACAAACTATAACTATAGGGTCCTGGCTTCCAGGAGTTCCAATCTCTAAATGCCAATGAGGACCTCTGTTTCCCCCTAGTTCTTCCCACCATGAGAAACGCCAGCTACTGAGAAAACTGCCAGGTCCATGGACAAAGACAGTGGAGAAGAGGGTGATATTTCCTGGGAATGAGGCAGTAGAATAACCAAGGCATTTAAGAAGAAAATGTATCTAGCAAGAAGAAAGAACAGAGAAGATTCTAGGGAACATTTACGAACTCAAATTGAAGTATGGGATAGAGAAACAAAACTGGAGAAAACAGAGAAGAAAGGGTAAAAGGAAAAATGTGGATTATTCAAGAAACTCAGGATACTTCACTCCACCAGGTGAGTAAAGCCTTAGACGTTTGCCAAGAGGAAAGTCTCAGAGGTCCTTGTCCTACCCTCTGCTCCTCAAGGCCTTTGCTTCTATCTGTCCCAAGTCTTTCCTACCAGGTGAACACCTCACCTCATCCAGGTGATGAGCACTCTGGGATCCAGCTAATCCTCTCCCAAATACCTGGATAAAGTTCACTGGTTTTTCAGACCCAGATGGACATGTGTATGACATCTGGCTGTAATCTGACCAGGCTTCTAGCATCTACTGGGTCATCCTTCTGCACAGACCCATGCCATCACAGATGGTCAAGCCATTCATGCCTTCCACATTTCTTTTCTTCTTATTCCAAATCTAAATCAGGCATTTCCTTCTGCACAGTCTTACCTGGCTAGGTTTAGCTCCCTTCCTCTACACCTCCTTAGTGTCTCAGGCTGCACTAAGATGATGGTTTTCCTGTCCATTCCTCCCCCCAAACTTTGTGCTTTTGAAGGCAGGGAACTTGTCTTCATCCTCCTTGTTCTTTGGACACTTAACACAGGGCTTGGCACATTGCAGGCGCTAAATGTTTCTTTATGGCATTTGGCTCTCCACCTGTCCCAGGTAGAACTGATTATTCTCCCCCTTGAACTACTGCTCTGCCACCTAGAGACATCCAGGAGAGTACCTGTGGCACTGTCATGTACTTCTCTGTCTACGTCTACCCCTTTCGAATGAACTCTGAGGGGCCTGACGCATCTTGGTTTTACCCAATCCTGACAAAACCTAGCATAGCACCTGGCATGTTGTAAATACTCAGTAGTATTTACTGAATGAATGTGTAACAAATCCTGTTGCCTACCTATTCTTTCCTACACCCAGTGGGGAAAGGGGATGGGGCAGACAGTCCCAAGATGCAAGCAGTCTCCCCAGAAACCTCTTTCTTTTTTCCCCAGAAGGCACATCCACTCTGTTAAGCGTATTTAGTCATGACCACTTAGGGACGCTGGATGCCAGAATGTAAGGGTTTGAGTCTGCAGGGAGAAATCTGGTAGAAAAGAAAAGAAGATGCCAATGAGGGGAGGAACTTCAAAGATAATTGTGTCACAGAACTAGAGGTTAGAGAGGCCAGTTTTTAGGATAGAGGTGGAAAGCCCTTCCATCTTCTTATACCTCAAATTATATCCTGGGGTCTAGTGCTCAAGTCCTCATCCTATTCCTAGTGTGACACTGAGCAAAAACATAGGTTTTTTGAGTAACAGACCCTTGGGTGAGAACCCAGCTTTGCTGTGCAGCCGAGGAGGTTTCAGACCTTCTCTGGGCTTTAGCAGCTTCATTTAGGCTTGTGGTAAGGCTTAATAAGATGGAGAATATACAACCTCAATGTAACCCTTGCTCAGAGTGGGTACTCGTAACTGTTGGTTCCCACCCTGAGCCCTGTATATAGTCAAGACCCCGGATTCTCACTTTTGTACTCCAAGTGGAAGCCGGCCGCAGACACGCTGATGTCTGAGTAGAAGTGAAGGTACAGCTGGTTGGACGTGCTGTTCAGAAGGGCAGGCACCGTTGTTCCTAGGGCAAGGACACCATGGGTCACTCAGGGTTAGCTCCTTGGGGCCTCCACCTCCTCTGTTTCTCTTTCTCTCTCTTTTGAGTCAGGGTCTCACACTGTTGTCCAGGCTAGAGTGCAGTGGCATGATCACAACTCACTGCAGCTGTAACCTCCTGGGCTCAGGCGATTCTCCCACCTCAGTCTCCCAAAAAGCTGAGGCTATAGGTGTGCCACCATGCTTGGCTAATTTATTTTTATTTTTGTAGACATGAGGTCTTGCCATGTTGCTCAGGCTGGTCTCAAGCTCCTGGGCTCCAGGACTCCAGGACTCCTGGGCAGAAGTCTTCCTGCCTCACCCTCCCAAAGTGCTGGGATTACAAGTGTGAGCCACCATACCTGGCCTCCCTGTTCCTCTTGCTTTTGCTACCTGCTGACAATCTTCCCCAAATGTTCCCAATGATCAAATCACAAAACGACAGATTAACAGTCCTCAGAGGGCTAGATCTCCAATGATCAATGAAGAGGAGATGCCAAACCACTTCCTTAAGATGAGCAGGAGCAGAGCCGAGTGCCTGCAGGAGGGTCAGTGCCTCAGATGGCTTGCAAGTTGGGTCCCCTTCCAACCATCTTCAGGATGACCCTGACATGTATGGACAGCAGTGTGGACAATCCAGCAGTGTGGACTCCTCTTTATGTCTTGCCTGCTAGAGTTCTGGACCTAAAAGATTCATGTAATTGCCCTGGCCACTGGGCAAAAGCACATGCTGTGCTCAGGCAGAAGTCCATTACTGGGATGGAATATGGTGCAGCCACCTTGGAAAATGGTTTGGCAGCTTCTCAAAAAGGTAAACACAGAGTTGCCATGTGACCCAGTAATTCCATTCCTAGGTATACACCCAGGAGAACTAATGACATAGGCTCACACAAAATTGCCTGCGAATATTCAGAACAGTATTATTCACAATAGCACAAACGTGGAAAAACCCAGTGACTGACGAGTGGATAAACAAAATGTGGTATATCTACATCATGAGGTGCTGATATGTGCTGCAAGTTAGTGAGCCTTGAAAATGTGCTGAGTGAAAGAAGCCACACACAGACGGCCACACATCATATGATTCCATTCCCATGGAGTTCCTAGACTAGGCAAATCCACAGAGACAGAAACTCCTTTCTAGTAGTTTAGTGACTGCAAAGGCTGGAAGGCAGGGGTGGGGAGTGAGTGTAAATGGTACCTGGTTTCTTTTGGAGGTGATCAAAATATTCTGGGATTAGGTAGTAGTGATGGTTGTAGTGCTTTGTGAATAGACTATAAACCACTGCACTCTAAAATGGTGACTTTTATGGTATGTAAATGATATATCAATAATGACGGTGATGATGATGATGGTGATGTCTAGTACTACCTTCCAAATGGAAGCTTCTAGAAGTCCACATTACCTGAGAAACTCCCCAGCATGGTTACAGTGTTATCTGCACCATCAAACACTTCTAGGGAGTCCCAGTTCTGCTCCGTGACAAAACTGATGACTTGAATCTGGGAAGGCAGAAGATCAAATTGTTGTTGAAGCAGCCTGCATTCCCATTCCCCGTTTCCTTTTCCTCTCTTCCCACAGTTAATTCAATTTATTGAGCACCTCCTGTGGGCCCAACACTGTGCTAGGCCCTTCCAATAGAAGCAGGGTACAGTCCCTCCTACAAGAAGGAGGGGATGGGGAAGACAAGTGTGAAACAAATGATTATAGGACAGAGAGATATTTACTTGGCAAGGTAGAGAATTGGGGAAAGAAATTCCAGGAAGTGGAAATACTTCAGTCTAACTGGCCTTCATCTCATCTCTGGAGCATTCCTTGGATTTCCTCACTTTCCTGCCCCAGACATCCTATACCAATGAGCCAGTAACCCACTCCTGCCTGACCTGTCGCCTCGAGTTCCAGCACGCTGCTGCCTCTCTGTTGGCCTTGCAGAACCCTGATCCTCGTCCCTGTCTCAGCACCAATGCTGGGGCCTCCCTCCACTCGGCTCCAACCCCTGGGCACCAGTTATGTCTCGAGTTCAGTTGTGCAGCTCAGGCTGCAGGTGTGAGACCTTAAATCTGTGCCTGGTGGTTTTCCAGGCTTCGGCTGTGCTTGGTGGTTTGCTCCTTCCTCTTATCAGTAACGTCTTGCCTTTTGCTCCCCACAGTCTTAAGAACAGCCTCTCCAGCCATTTGCGAAACATTTCCCATGAATCCGCCCCAATATGTGCATCTCAGCTCTAGGCCCTTCTTCCAGCCTCTCCTGCTGGCCTGGGCCAACACCCACATCTCCTTCCCGAGTCACCCATCTCCTTCTTTAGGGGAAACCCCTGGGCCCATGAGCGCTTGTGTTTTTCTGTGTGTGGGCCACACCTCCACACTTGGACTGAGCCTCCTCAGCCACAGGGTCAGGGACAGGACTGATTTGTCTCTTCCCGGCTCACTCTGGTTCAGAGCTTGGCAACAGCTGCACCTGTAGGCGGCCGCCTGCCTGACCAAGGCACCTCCTTGAACCTACCTGGATGCCAGCGCCTTCTGGGACCATAATCTTCCACACACAGTTGAGGCTGTTGAGGTAGGGCTCCGGAAAGCCGGGGGACAGGATGGTGCCCCTGCGCTCAGTGAGGTTGCCTCCACATGGCACTGGGCAGAGAGATGGCTCTGGTCAGAGGCTCCTAGTTGCCTCTGTGATTCCCCCATGGGAGCCTCCCTACGCCAACTCCTCCCTCAGGGTTCCCCAGCCTCTGCTTGGAGCTTCTCCCTTTATGTCCTCTGTCCCATCTTCTTGGTCTATTTTTGGCCTCCTCCATGACTTCTCCCCATGCAACCCTCCTTCAGGGACCCTGGCTCCTGCCTGCACACATGTCCCTTTCCCAGCCCCCCCGGCTACCTTTACACCCAGCCCACGGGACTGGGTATTTGGCCTGAATGGCACATCCTTCTTAAGTTATGCTGGTGGGAAGGGTCTGCTGTGTGCCTTGGGGTCTCTGCTGGGACTTGCTGCCTCCCTGAGGGAGAAAGGACTGTTTGCTGGGCCCCCTCCCCCAGTCCTGGTTGTCCAGGTACTCACCCACACACGTGGGTGCCGAGACATTCCACTGGGCCAAGGCCCCAGGCACAGGGAGACACTCAATTTCTGGGGACCCTTGCAGAGCATAGCCGGAGTTGCATTCGAAACGGATGACAGCCCCCACTGAGAAGTCACTGCCCAGCCTCTTGCCATAGCGTGGTTCCGGAACAGAGCTGCACTGTGTGGCGCTGGTTCGAGGCACCGCTGCAGGGTTGGACAAGGGCATTGAGGGGCAGGCCTCACCTCTCTAGAAACTGGCCCAGGAAAGGACACACAATGGGATCGGAACAAAGGCAGTCTGGATGGGACCCTGAGAGGCTCTGGGCACTTTCCCTTAGAGAAGAGGCTGGCAGCTATCTAGGATAATGCTCATTTTACTGAAATATAGTTGGATACACAATGTTATAGCATGGCTTCTGGAAACCATGAGAGGTAGTGTGAGCCTGTACCCTAGTGGGCAGGGAGCAGGAGGGAAACACATTAGCTTTCCATTTCTGATTCCCTTCCTCATTCAGAGCTTTGTCTACGAAATGTCTGTTGGGTAAGTGAATATGTAAACTTCAACTGAATCTTCAGGGAATTGTCCACAAACTAGTAACTGCCCCAAGCTGAGCAGAGAAAGAGGCTCAGACTAGAGATCAAAGATCCCTGTTCTCTTGGTCACCAGCACCCCCAGCTAGTCACTTAAGAATTGAGATCACCTTCCCATTCTGCGCCCACGTCCTGCATACCTTGGTAGACAAAGTGGAAGCCCCTGGCTGGCGCTTGGCCTTTGGCACTGAACTTAATGAGAACTTGATTGGAGGTGGCCAAGGGCAGCGATTCTCCTGCCGAGATAAGGGGCGAGGAGGAGAGAAAGACAAATGAATCCAGCAGTCTGGTCCAGCAGAAAAAATCCCAGCCAGGAAGGAGGGGCTGCTGATAATCCATATAGCAGTTCCTTCCACATTCAGTTCTTTCTAAAATAAAATCTCTCTCTCTCTTTTTGAGTTGGAGTCTCACCCTGTCACCCAGGCTGGAGTTTGGTGGCATCATCACAGCTCACCACAGCCTCAACCTCCTGGGATCAAGCAATCCTCCCACTTCAACACCCTGAGTATCTGGGACTACAGATGTGCACCACCACACTTGACTATTTTTTACATTTTTTGGTAGAGATGAGGTCTTGCTATGTTGTCCAGGCTGTTCTTGAACTCCTGGGCTCAAGTAATCCTCTTGCCTTGGCCTCTGAAAATACTGGGATTACAGATGTGAGCCACCATGCTTGGCCAAAATCTCACATTTTCACTGCACTTCACAACTTAAATTTTATAGAAGCCTTTTACATTCACAGTCTTAACTTGACATGTGGTCAGTGTGAGGTTGACATGGCAGAGTTCAGTACCCTCATTTAATAAAGCAGGAAAGAGAGGTTCAGAAAGATTAAATAACCTGCCGGAAAAGAGAAAACTGCTGAAGATGTGTTGAGCCACAGGGCCGGAGAGAGCAACTGTTACTGAGCTGACTAGTGATTTACATGGAAAACTGACATCAATCTAACTTTTAAAAAATGATGCCAGCTTCTGGGAAGGAAGATGATGTGATCATCTGAGAGCAACTGGCCTTTCCCAGACACCCCTTCTCCCCAAACTGTGCAATGATCAATGACCAGAGTGATTACATAATTTACTGCTCATACTAGGATATTCCAAGAGTCAAAGGAAGTACTACCAATAACTACGTGGGAAAACCAGTAAAAGCTGGGACTGTCCTAGGCAAACCAGGACACACTGCCACCTGACCACGAACATGCAAATTGGGGGGAAACCTGCACAGGCACGGGCAGCTAGGGAGGCTGGCAGCCTATGTGGCAGAAGATAAAGATGCACCTCTGCCTTGGTGTGATACAGATAGGCCAGGGGAGAGACAGCAGCAACAGGACCTCCAGATGAGAGTGATAACCTCCAGTTATCACTGCCATCTCTAGCTGCTCCATTCAATGGATGCAAGCATTTGGTCTGACAGAGAGTCCAGGGTGAACATGGGGAGAGGCAGTGGGATAGTCACTCTGCATGCTGCCCCTCAGCAGCCTTAGGAACCCTAGATCCCACTCTCAGAAGGATAGTAGAGGTTACAGAGAACCAGGCTCCATCTCCACTATGGTGAGAGCTAGAGTTGGGACCCACCAAGGGGCACTGCTACTGACCATGGGAGAGGAGAGCCTTCTGCAAAGCAAGCTTAGATGTACGTGTGACCCAGATGTCTCAGCCTGACCAGCAGTCATTGCCTTGACTTACTTCTGGCTGCAAAAGCAAAAAAAAAAAAAAGAAAAGACAAAGCTTCCCTTTGTTATCACCACCATCTCTAGCTGCTCCTTCCAATGGATGTGCACATTTGACCTGACAGATGTGGATTGGGACCCTAGTGATCTCTCACAGAACCCATAGAAGCCTCAGCCCTGGACAGGCCTCCCCCGCCATGGGACAGTACTGGCCATTATAAAAGATTTCAAAGTTTTAAGAAAGAACACTTTGAGAACTCAAAGCGAATATTTTTATATGAACTACAACAAAGAACAGGCAAAAATCTCAGAAGGTGTTCAGTCATGGTTGTCACAAGATTAAATCTAGCATTGCATCTGTGAAGTCAGAGGAGAAAGGCTCTGTGATCAATAAAGGCTACAAAGAGATGAGAAAAGCTAGTGCAAGGCTGTTGCCTTCCACAGAAATTAAACAATGAAGTGGAGATGAAATTTGGAGAGTTCTCCCAGAATCCATAGACAAAGAATAAAGAGATTAAAATAATGAGAGAAATGAAAAGTGACATGGAAGACAGATGAAAAAAACCCCAATATGCATATATCAGAAATTCCAGAGAAAGATGACAGAGAAATTGAAGGAGAAAAAAAATCATTTGAGAAAGAAGATATTTTTCCTAAGACTTGTGGTTCAGACCGAAGTATTTCCCAAGTGCAAGATCTAATTAGTGAAGAGAGGCCTCTATCACAACACATCCTAGTCAGTTTTTAACTTTCAAAAATAAGGAAAAAATATGAAAATCATATAGACCGAAAATCATAGGTTACCGACAAGGACAAAGAATCAGGTTGGACCCCAATTTGTCTGTAATATTAATGTTAAAATAGAGTGAAACAATTACTGCAGTTTTGAAAGATAAAGTTTGTGACCCATAATTTGATTTGCAATCAAGTTGTCATTTATATCATACAGCCAAAGGAAGGCATTGTCATACATACAAGGTGACAGAAAGTACTGCAGTTATAAGCCCTACTGAAAAAAGAAAAAAAAAAGTAGGAAATTCAAGACCTTGCAGAGATAAATGCAACCAGGAAAGTATGATAACTATTGTTAATGAAGTAACAAAACAAAATGCAAATGTAAAAACTTGTTACTGGGTAAGATGCCTATAATTTAAAAAATAATTACTAATAACATCAATATAAAAGTCCAAATATGCCAAGAAAAACTTGGAAATTAGCAATGGGTCAGGTATGAATGGAAAAGCAAGGAAGCAAAATCAAAACAACCCAAACAAAAGCCCAGAAATAACAAAACAAGATGACAGAGATCAGATCAAACATTTCACTTGTAAAATAAATAGATAATCTTCTTCAAAGTAAAAGACTCCTGGAGAAAATTACGGAAGATATATCAGGCAAACACAGCTACAAAAATTGTTAGAAACACAAGAAAACAACAAAATATCACAATTGTAGTGGAAGATATTTTAATGCAACATTCACAATCATTGCCATATCAAATACAAAAACAAAATGAAGATTGTTGAGTAGTGATCTGTAAGCTTCTTTTTTCCCCAACACACTTCAGGGTCAGGGACACAGTTCACTCCCATTAGTACTGGCAGCTCATTATCAGTGTTTCTCCCAGGGAGGAATAAGGGACCCTCTGAGAATACTGATACTGATATTTATAGGTCTTATACATCTATCTATCTATATCTATCTATCTTTTTATTGGTCCTATATACCTGTATCTATATATCTATATCTATATCTTTATCTATCTATCTATCTATCTATCTATCTATCTATCTATCTAAAAGCATATTCATGATTAGGTCCTAAATTATACCTATTTCATATTACTTCTTGGACCTTTACCTATACTTATATTCTATATCTATATCTATACTTATATCTATCGTTATCATCAATCAATCAATCAAGAGATTTGGAAAACACATCCTATCCCTGAAGATCTTGATTTACACTCTTGGTTGGGTATGTATGTGTGGGGTGGTGGTATTGAAAAATCAATTGGTTGAGAATCCACTGATATAATAGATTTGAACAACAAAATTGAGTAAGGCTGATCCAATAGCTAGTACAAAGCTCATTCATTCCCACCAATAACTCTAGGAGGTAGAACGTTTGCTCTTTGCATTTTATAGATGAGGAAACTGAGACTCAGAGAGGTAGAGTACTGTGCCCAATAGCAAGTAGGAGAGCTAAGATCAGGGCCTGGCTAGTGTGACTGTGCAGCCTGCCCTTGTCCCTTCTCACTTCTCTACCCCACAGAGAACATACATTTTTCCTAGATATTTAGGGAATTAAAAAAAAGTCCTTGGCACTGAGAAGACCTCATTTAATCTGTAAAGTAGAAATGGTACAAGCCACATTCTCTAACCACATGGCAATAAAAATAGAAATTAACATAAAAGTTAAATGCAACAAGAACAGAATCCATGTTCTTAGGGGAAAAGAAAAGACATTCTTAACCAACTCTTGGGCAAAAAGAGCAAACAACACTATCACGGGCTATTTAGAAAGTAATGATGATGAAAACAGTACATATCAAAATTCATGGCATGAAGCCAAAACTATGCTTAGAGGTGAACACATCATTGTAAACATGTTCCTTATTACACAGAGGAAATAATGAACAAAGCTCTCGAGTCAAGAAGTTAGAACAAAATAATCTGAAGGAAAAAAAGGAGGAAGGAAATGATGAAATAAAGGCAGAGGTTAATCAGAAAATAACAACGACAAACCTACAGAAAATTGATAAACTGGAGCAATAAAAACTAAAAAAAAAAAACACAACAAAACCCACAAAACCACAAAACATCTGGTACAGCTGAGACAAAAGAGGACAATGAACGCGGTATTCAGCATAATAAAGGCAGGAATATAATCACAAGTATGAAAGTTGACAAAACAAAGGCGACTGCACATCATCATAGTATATTATACAAGCCATGTTGCTAAATTTAAAGAAAACTATGAAATGGGGTTTTTACTAAAAGATAAAATAGCAACATTAATATTAGAGTAATACACCTGAGTAGACCAATAACCCTGGAAGAAAATAAACGAAAAACTACTGAAAAAGAGGAGATAAGATAATGAGACAATTTATTTGCAGCGAATATTGCTTCTTGCCTAGAGGAGCCAGGAGAATGAGTTGGCGGTGTCAGCACTGTCATGAAGAGTTCAATGACTTTACAAAATGAATATGCCAAAAATGTCAGTCTTTGAATATACTAGCAAAGACCAGTTAAAAAAACGTAACGGGGGAAGGGAGGGAAAGACAGCAGCTACCAAAATCTCCACAAAATATCTAGAAATAAAGTTAATAGAAAATGATTTCTGCCTAAATGAAAATTACAGCAACCTCCTCAAGGCTGCCACAGATAAATAAATGGAGAGACATACCATGTTCCGGGATGGGAGAGGAGTTAGTTTTATAAAAATGTGAGTTATCTTCAAATTAATCTTTTTTTTTGAGTTGGAGTCTCACTCTGTCGCCCAGACTGGAGTGCAGTGGCCGCTCCCGGCCACCGCAGCCTCGACCTGCTGGGCTCCGGCGATCCTTCCGCCTCAGCCTTCTGAGTAGCCGGAATTACAGGCGCGTGCTACCACGCCTGGCTAATTTTTTGATTTTATTGTAGAGATGAGGTCTCGCCTGCCCAGGTGGGTCTCAAACCTGCGGGCTCAGGCAATCCACTCACCTCAGTCTCCCAAAGGCGTGAGATTACAGGCTGAGCCACCGAGCCTGGCAAATTAATCTATTAGTTTTATGAAATCCCGGTCAACATTTTGATGCAATGTTTTTTTTTTTAATTTTTGAGTTGGAGTCTCACTCTGTCGCCCAGACTGGAGTGCAGGCCGGCCACTGCAGCCTCGACCTGCTGGGCTCTGGCGATCCTTCCACCTCAGCCTTCCAAGTAGCTGAAACTACAGGCGCGCTACCACGCCCGGCTAATTTTTGACTTATTGTAAAGATGAGGTCTCACCAAGTTGCCCAGGCAGGTCTTGAACCCGCGGGCTCAGGCAATCCACTCACTTCAGCCTCCCAAGGCATGGGATTACAGGAAGAGCCACCGAGCCCGGCTGATGCAATGTTTTTAACTTGACAAAATATTTCTAAATTTTATTCAGAGGCAAAATTAAGCAAGAATTAAAAATTCAAAACAAAGAATGACTATAGGGTCTTACAGTACCATATGTTTAAAAGTATTATTTTAATAAACACTATTATAGTGTTATAATAATTAAAACTAATACAAGAATAGACAGATACTTAGAGGAAATAGATAAGTTTAGGGACAGACACTTAACTTCATAAAAATTTAGTATATGTAAATCTGGTATTTTGAAAATTCTTATAGGACAACTGATAAACTATATTTGAAAGAATAGTTCCTATATCAAATAATAAATCAAAGTAAATTTCAAAGGTATTAAAGCAATACAATAAAACTAAGAAGTAAAAGAAAACACAAAAGAATATTTATTTGACCAGCATAAAAGCAAAGGAGAAAACTAAAGAAGAAAACACTGATAGATTTGATATCAAGATAAACTTATATTTTCTGCATTAATGCACCCTGAAGAAAATTATATAACAAAGAACAAACTGGAAAGGAGGACTTTTTACAGCATATAATATATATAGCTTATAATAACAAGGACCACTATTCAATAAATAAGGAAATATGTGCGATCAGAAAAATCAACACAAATTAACAAATAAAAAATGTGTGGGCCAATCAACATATAAAAAGGTTGACCTAACTAGTAATAAAACAAGGCAAATTAGAAAGTGAGATATCATTTTCACTTTGAAACTGATGATGCTTTTGTTTTTTCATTACCTGGCTTTTGTGAGAACACAACACATCCTCATTCAATGTTGGGGAACAAAGTGGTGAGATCTTTCTAAATAGATATTTGACAATCTGTATAAAAAGCCTTAAAGATCCCACATATCCTTTAACTTGGCAATTCTACTTTTAGATATTCTAAGGTAACAGGCAGAGATATGTATAAAGATATATGTATAATAGTGAATTACTATTCATAAGAGTGAAACATTAGAAACAATCTAAATGTTCAACAGAGAATTCATCACATAAATTTTAAATAACTATATGTGAGACTACTATGCAGAATTTAAAAATCCTATTCTAGAAGGAAAAAATGACAGAGAAAAGCTCACAGTGAATATTTCAATAAAATATGTATATTGGTTTGTTCAATAAAATATGTAAAGGATTAAGTCTAAGTAGACAAAGACTGGAAGGAAATACACTGCATGTTTTCAGTGGCTCTTTCTGGGTGGTTTTTATTTTAATTCTCCATAAAATTATTTTGTTTTGTCCTTAAGTTTTCTACAGTGAAAATATAATACATTTATAATTAGAAAAAAAATGCTGGATCTGAATAGAAACCGAGAGAATGCTACACCACACGGGAGCGGTGTAGACACAACGTGAGTGAAGGTGGCTTCTGAAGGTCCCTGCTCTGTGTGGCTCTCAGGAGCTGGCCACTGTGTTGTAGACAGTACCACAGCAAGACAAACACAGAGCTGTGCTCACCCATCTGCGGCCATGCAGTGCTTCTAGGGCCGCCTTCCTTTCAGCTGGCCATGATGACCCCTATCCACCCCACCCCCACGCTGGCCAAGCCCTGGATACCTGTGTGGGAGCCTGAGAGGGAGCTGAGGAGCCGAGAGTGCTGGCTGTGACCGTCATGCACCTCCACCACGTCGTTGAGGGCCGTGTGGAAGAAGGCAAACTGACCAAACACCACTGTGGAAGAGACACATGTGGAAATCTCAGCGTGGAAGATGGGGCAGGCATGCTGGGAGCAAGGAGTGGGGAGGGAGGCTGGGGGACCAGGCCAGGAGGAGGGCAACCCTGGAGAAGTGGCTGGTTCTCAGACCAACTTCTTGCTGAACCTTTCTACTAGCCGATGAGCACAATGGCCGAACCCCCGGGCATAGGAAGGCGGGAAACTGCAAAGGCCTAGGCTGGCCTCCACATGGGTCTAGACAATACTGAGGACCACACCCAAAGGTCGGGCTAGTGGAGGTGGCACTCAGCTAATTCTGTTCCTTTCCCAGATAGCAGCTGTCACAGCTATTCCAGGCCATGAAAGAGCTTTTACTACCATCCCCCATTTTCCATGTGATTGCGGGACCCCATGTTCTCTCTTACTTGGGCAGCCCTTGGATACAAGATCTCCCACAGTTAAGAGGAACAAGGGTGGTGAGTGGCAGCCTGCTCCCGGGGAAGGAATAGCTGCCTAAGAAGCCAATAGATCCACCTCATTTCCCTCCTGTAAAGCCCAGAGGGCAGAGGGAAGATGGCATCTATTAATTACCTACTGGGTGCCAGGTATCACCCTTGGCATGTACATCATCTTCTCTGACCATGACTCTTTCAGATATTACCCATGTTTTGTAGACAAGAAACTGAGGCTCAGAGGTTGAGTTCTCCAAGACCACTCAGTTCGTTTGGGGAGCAGGGCTGGCTGAAAAGACACAGCACTCCCAAGTCCTGATCAGAGAAAGCTAAGAGCCCTGCCATTTGATGGTATTTGGCATTCTGGTCACCAGCTATACATTGCGTGGGCTTTCCTCAGCCCATTTCTCTTTACCAGTCCCTGCTGGAGGGGCTGGGATCACTCCTGGGCCCCAGTGGGCATGGTTCTTATTTAGCTATCCAACAGCAGCCCCAACTCGTTCTGCCCGCATGGCTCTCCCAGTTGGCCTGGTGCATCTGAGGAAAAGAATCAGGGTCAACCCTTCTCTACTTTGGCTCAGAGCCTTGAGCGTGTGCTAAGTAGGATGTATGCGTGTGTTGTGTATGTTGTATATATTGTGGGTGCTATGTGTTGTGTGTTATATGGTTATGCCCATGTTCATGTGTTGTTTATGTATCTTGTGTATATGAATGTGTGGTGTGTGCATGTGTCATGCATATATGTTGTGTGTTGCATATGCATATTGTATTGTGGTATGTATTGTATATATTGTGTGCATCTGTTTTTTTTTTTATTTATTTTATTTTAAAGACTTAGGGTACAATTCAGGATTAGGTACACAAGTGGTCATCATACAGGTAAAGTTTGGGTCTCCCTTTGGTCCCCAATTTGTCTGGTTTGAGATCAGGGACCCTTATTAATATTATGTGGCCCCCCTCCCCCCTTGGCAGTTTCCGGCTACTGCCAATCCCTTTCTTATAGTATTATGTTACTAAATGTTCAGGGTTATGTGAGAACATGCAGTACTACGTTCTTTGTTTCTATGATAAATCACTATTATAGACTCCAAATCCATCCAAATCTGTGAAGTCCATAATTTTATTTTTCTTTTCTGTTTTGTTTTTCGTGTACACGTGTATTGTGTGGGTATGTATATGTGCTGTGCATATGTATTGTGTGTGTTGCACGCATGTTGCATGTGTTATGTATTATTGTATGTGTACATATGTTGTCTGTTATATTGTATATGCTGTATATGCATGTGTTGTGTGTGTATATGTTAGATGTGTATGTTTTGTTGCATATGTGCATGCATGTGTCGTGCATGCATATGCTGTGTGTTGTATGTGATTCATATGTTGTATGATGTTTATATGTATATTGTGTGTTGTGGTATATGTGGTGTGTGGGTGTGTGCACATGCACATGTCAAGGCAGAGATGGACTCAAGCTATGGAGCTGATTGTCTGATAATACATTTGCAATGCTGAGCATGACAGTGAATGGCATAAGAGATTCTTAACTCTCAGCTCATGGGTAGAGGAGCAGGAGGAAAAGCACATTTCCCCACCCTAAAAATAGGCACTGAGTTAAGGCTGGTGGCAGGGGAGTCCATGGTCTCCCCTTTAGTGGTGAATAGGACAGAGTGTAATTCTAATGGAAAGAGACAGTAAAAAACAACAACAAAAACTCAGCATGCAAACAAACACTTAAGCAAAAACAGATAAGAAAATTTCAGATACTGTTAAGTTCTGGGCATGATGGGATAGAATGATAGGGTGAGGTAGGTCATTTTAGATAGGAAATCAAAGAAAAATCTCTCAGAGGATCATGCCATAGCTGACACCTGCACTGGGGGTGAAGTCATCCAGACACAGAGGAAAGCCTGTCCCTAATCCCTGGGCTCAGCATCATTGGCAAGGAGAAGCAGCTTGGGACAGATCTCCATATACAGGTTTCTGCCCAATGCCTTGGTCAGCCTTGGGGTTTGTTGCTTGCAGAGGCTTGAGCTCCTTATCACTGGAAGAATTCAAACACAATCTGCATGCCCAATTGGGAAGGATCCTGCTCTAGATAGCAGATAGTTTGGAAAACCTTTCAGGACTTTTCTAACTGTGATCCTGCAGGTCTAAAGCTCCTGCCACCTAAGTATATTGAGAGGTGGGTACACACCCACATACGTGTGCAGGTGCTGGGGCAGGAGTGGTGTATGATGGCTGGAACTGTGGGTGATGGCGGGATGGGGAATATATTGAGGGTAGGAACACGACTCTCCTGTATCTGTAGCATAGGCCCAGGCAGAGTGCATTCCCCCAAAAGATGTTCACTAAAGGTTTGGCGAGTGGCTCAAGAATCAAGCCTTGCCTCACGCTCACCCATCCTATCTTGGGGAACAGGCATCCAGCTCTCTGCATGCTCCCCAAGCCTCTTCTAAGTGGGCAGGACATACTGATGCCCTTTGCCACACCCAACACCAACCGTGTTTAACCATGTTAGTTGCTAGTTCTCCTATGAAGAGGAGGTCTAAGGAGAAAGCCAGGCTGGCCACCTGGTTGCCTTGCATCTTCTTGAATGCATGTAGGGTTGGCAGGTCTTGAATGTCCCCAGTACCAACCAGGTCATGAGCTTGGTTCTCTCTGCCTGCATCATCTCTTGTAATCCGGAGAGTCCTCTGTCTTCTCAGGGCACTGGCCTGCTCCTCGCTTTTTTCTAGCTCATGCTAGCTATAGCTCCAGGGCAAGGCTGTGGCTCTCAGAAGGGACGCCAGAATGCTGTGGCTCCTGGTCTCTTTCACCTGCACTTTCAAGCCCAGTCCCATCCCCATTCCTTTCCTCTCTCCTGCCCCTTAGCCACTGCCCCTGGCCTGTCAATAGGCCTGGGCCTGTGGCCTCTCCATTCAGATTTGGGCCATACTGGGTAGCTCCCCGTGGGCACCTTGCGTTCCCTCTGTCCTGGCTAGTTCTTCACCAACTACATGCCCTTAGTTCCAGCTGGATCCATGTGTGCTCTTCTTTCCTCTGTGTCAGGAATGTGTTCTGCGGCATGTTTCAGAGCCTCAGCACTCAGATGTCCTGCCTGGGAGACTGCTGCTCTTCCCACAATGGGACTGGAGGGTGGGGAAGGGCCTGAGGATTTGTTCAATTTGGAATGAGGGTCAGGCATCAGAAAATATACAAGTAACAACAAAAATTCATACCATAGTCCTTGGGAACGGTGACAAAATACAAGCAGATCTGTCCACTGGTGTAGTTCTGGGGATAGTTGGGGGACAAGACCACTCCGTCTGAACCCACATACTGTCCCCCACAGGGGGCTGAAAGAGAAATCAGACATAGAGGGCCAGGTCACCATGTGGGCCTCTCACCAGCCATCCATCCTCTGTTCCGTTCCCAACCTGATCTTCTGGCTCTGGTGGGACTGCCTTGACATGGGTGGCCACTAACTTGGAGAAAGAAAATTCTGAGAACACTTCCTTGCTCTGCAACCCCAGACTGGAATACGGCCTGAAACTCACCCTGATGCTATCAAGGGTTCCCTTGGGCAGATGTCAGTCCTTGCCCTCTAACTATTAACATTGGCATCAGTCCCTGAAGGCACAGCCTTGGGGAGCACATTAAGAACTGCTTCTATTTACAAGTGTGTCATAGAAGTGACCTGGTACTCATGACTGATGTCTGCACCTGCGTAGTTAGTGTCTGCATGAGTAGGGAGCTGGAGCTTCCCCAGCTAAGTCCACTGGAAGCAGACAGCCCCTGTGACCCAACTACCTTCTGTTCCCATCCACAGTGCCCATTTTCCACAAGGTTGAGCCTCAGAGACTACCCCTCTCACCTAAGTCCCTGTCCCTAAGTCCAGGGCCACTGTTAAACTCCCTTCTCCTTGGTATAGCATGTCTTGGGGCCTCATTGAGGATATGAGCATCTATCTGAATGGGGATGTGGATGCCATGTGATCTGAGATGACACCTTGACAGGGACCAAAGGGGTCTCCTTGGGTTTTTCCTCTTGGGTGGTCACCATGCTCTTGAAGTTCTGAAACTCATTCCTATCCCTCTTGTTAGGGCCCTGTGGCTAAGCCAGACCCTCACCTGGAGTTAGCCTACTCCACTGGCCTTCCTTTGACATGTCCCATCTCTCAGTGATTTTCCCTAGGCCCAAGAACAAGTCCAGGGCCACTGTTAAACTCCCTTCTCCTTGGTGTGGCATGTCTTGGGGCCTCATTGAGAATATGAGCATCTATCTGAATGGGGATGTGGATGCCATGTGATCTGAGATGACACCTTGACAGGGACTGCATGCCTGGTGAATTATGAACCATTCATCCACTGCATTCCCAAGTTTGGCAGGCCCTGCTGGAGGAGCACGCGTGAGGACCATGGCCCCTTCTCCTTCTCTTTGAGTCACCCTTAAGGAACAGCCCTTTCTGTCTCCGGCATGCCCTCATTCCTCAGGCCCCTCCCGCCCACGGCTCCTGCCACCTGTGCAGACTGGCCGAGGATTGTTCCACACCGGCTTCCCATCTGGCCCCAGGATGCAGCTCAGAGTGGAGGAGCCCTCAACTTCATAGCCCCCATGGCAGTAGTAGGTGATAGAGGAGCCCAACTTCAGGTCGGACCCCACTCGCGTGCCATTCTTGATGGACCCAGGATCAAAACATGACTCCCGTGGGTTTTCTGGGAAAAAGAAAAACAAACACATGGACACACACAGAGGGCTTGTTAGTAGCCTGTCCCTATGACACAGCACCCATGGGGGGAACCTGAATTTATTAGCCACAGAGGACCCGGGGGTAGGGGGGTTGTGGGGAGTTCGAGATTGTTGGTCCTATTCCCCTCAGATCTAGAAACTTCTCTAAATTTGGTTAGAAAATGAAGGCTGGAAATCACATTAAATAAGGAAATTTCTCTCCCTCTCCCCACATTTTTGCCTGGACCCACAGAGTAAGAAGCTCCAGCTAAACCTTTGGGGTCCTCTCTCAACCCCCTACTCATTCCTCCCCAAGGGAAGTATGTGTTGCTCTGACTGGTGAAAGCTGACTGTTTCTGGTCCACATCTAAGCTGCAGGCAGGGCCACTGTGATAGAGGTCAGTGCTTAGGCACAGTCCATCCTTTTGCTCATCTTTGACCAACCCCACTCACACTCAGCATGGCAGACTTCCTCAGCTTTTCTATTTTTGTTTTTTGAGGAAGGGTCTTACTCTATTGCCCAGGTCAGGGTGCAGATCATAGCTCACTGTAACCTCCAACTCCTGGGTCAAGTGAGTAGCTGGGACTAGAGGCACAAGCCATCACTTGGCTAGTTAAAAAAAAAATTTTAGAGACAAGGTCTTGCTATGTTGCCCGGGCTGGTCTTAAACTCCTGGTCTCAAGTGATTATACTGCCTTAGCTTCCCTTAGTGCTGGGGTACAGGTGTGAGTCACCATGCCTGGCCTTTCTCATTTTTTTTTTTGGTCTCCCGCCTTGAAGCAGAGCAGATGGTCTGTCTTTGGAGACTGTTCTTTCTCTTCCTCTTTCTTCTGCCTCGTCCATGCTGCTGGTTGAGAAGGTAAAACTGGCATCTACTCTGTAGCCCCAGTCATATTTGTCTGTTGCAGACACTTCTGAGTGAATAGGTACCAAATACTTAGATCCAGGGAGGAAGTACCTACTTCCACATCTGGGTTGGGTTACCCACTTTCTGGGATAAGATGAGGTTTCCAAAATAGCCTCCCAGCATTTTGCCCTGGGTATTGTATGTGTCCAACCACTGCCACCATGGACGTGCCTAACAATCATCTGCTCTGTCACTCTGCACCAGACATGGCTGTACTTGGCAATGTTCCAGAACTGGGAGTACTAGCCAGGGCTCCACATCTCTGGAGAAGGACACTCTACAGCATCCCTAACCAACAGCTGGAAACTCCGAGCAGCACTTTGGAGCCAATGTTCACTTCTGTCCATTATTGTCTTTCCTCAGTGCTCTTTATTCTAAGATAACTGATGGTTAAGAGGACTGTTACCAGGTCTAGGCAGTGACAGGGCACAGCGGAGGCCAGGCAGTGCAACAGAGATGTGACTGAGTATAAGGTTTCGATTAGTCCTGGAGGCTATGCTGTGGGGTAGGAGGGGAGGGGAGTATGGGGAGGAGAGTATGGGGCAACAGAGAGGTCTAGAGATAGGGGCTGGCAGAGACATGCTGACAGTCTCTGCAGAGGACTCAGAAACGGAGCTCAGGGGCAAAGAGCAGGAACAGAAGGGATCAGACCTCATTTATAAGAGATGAACGGCTCAGGAGGAATTTTGCCAAGGGCAGTCCTTCTCACCTGGGTACCTTTTAGACTACCCACACAGGAGGCAGCCACTGCCTGAGGTTGTCACTCAGCTGCCAATCAGCTGGATGACTGATGGGATGAAATTCTGAGAGTCTATGATTCTGCCTCTTGCATGTGAGCCATTATGACCATCCTATTCTTTAAGTCTTTGGCCACAGCTGAGGAGGGAGCAGCAGTGGAGTACTACTGCATTTAAACTCAAGTAGGACCTAGAAAACGGCCATTCACCTAGCAGACCTGTCACCATGTCTTATGTTTCACCTTTCACCAGTCCCCTTTTTTTTTTTGAGTTGGAGTCTCACTCTGTCGCCCAGTCTGGAGTACAGTCTTGACCTGCTGGACTCAGATGATCCTTCTGCTTCAGTCTTCCAAGTTGCTGGAACCACAGGCATGCACCACCATGCCTGGCTAATTTCTTTATTTATTGTAGAGACAAGGTCTTGCCAAGTTGCCACCAAGTTGCCCAGGCTGGTCTCGAACCCCTAAGCTCAGGCGCTCCTCTCGCCTCTGCCTCCCAAAGTGCTGGGATTATAGACATGAGCCACAGTGCCTGGCCCACCATTTCTTTTTATAAACTTAAAGTGGGTTAAGTTTTATTTGAAGTTCAGAGAAATTAAGTAACTTGAAACCAAGTTCAAACAGCTCATAAGAGGCAGAACTAGATATGATTCCCAATATCCATTTCTCTCCTTCATCCTTCAATAATGGAACTCAGATTTTATCCAGAGCTTTAAGGCATAAGCTAAATTCCACATTTCCCAGCTTTCTGGGCAGCTAGGTCTGGCCAAAGAGATGTAAACACAAGTTGAATATATCTGCTGAAAACAATCCAATAGCCTCCTCTCTCACTCAGAATAAAAGACATCATCCTTCGAGGCCTCTAAGTCCCTACATATGTGTTCTCTAATTATCCCCTCTATGACCTCGGCTCCTGTGGCCCCTTTTTAAACTTTGATCCATCCATATTGGCTGCTGTGCATGGATGTTTCTCAATCTGCACAGCTCCCTCTCTCACACTTTCAGAACTTACTAATATTCCCTTCTCAGTGACACCCTCTGAGCAGTTATTTAAAAATGCAATATTCTTCTCCCCAACGCTCCCAGACACACTCTTTTGCTTTATTTCTCTCCACTACAATTAGCACTCTCTCATCTACACTGTATTTACCTTATTTCTTCTATCTTCCTTCACTAGAACATAGGTTCTGGAAGGACAGCTTTTCAATTTTGTTCACGGCTGTCTTCCAGTGCCTGGCACCTGGTAAGCACTTCATAAATATCTTTCATGGATTCATATGGGTCGTCTAGGAGGGCTGCTTAAGGGAGGTAGACTCAGCTGAGAGAATGCTCATTGGCCCTCCCTTCCTCTCCAGTCTAGAGGTCAGATGTGATGACTGAAAGCTCAGTCGCCATCTTGGATTCAAGCTAACCTTAAGGAGGGGATCCGGGACAAGCACTGGTAGAGTGGGAAGGCAGAAAAGGCCCAGGTGGAGGCTCCTTGCCACTCCTGAATGCCAACCCCCAGATTTCTTTTACGGAAAGGATGATAAACTTCTACCTTATATAAGCAACTGTATTTTTGGGTAGCTGCTCCCCTGGCATTGGACCCAGCTTCAGTATTACAGATGTCAGAATGTCCTTTCTTCCTTTCATTGTGTGGCAAATTCCTATACTTTTCAGTGACATTCTTTCTGAGCAGGTTTCTTGAACTTTGTGCTTTCTTGAACTTTCTGCCTCTGTGGCAGAATTCTGTTTTTCTTTCCCTGGTTACAGCATGCTTCATATTACACTGGTAAGTTGGGTAAGTGTATTTCTTTTCAATAGGATCTGATCTTCTGTAGGACAGGGACCATCACTTAGTCGTCACATAACCCTGGCATCTAGCACAGAATGTGGCACTGTGGCTGACCCTATCTGGCACATAATAGAGGTTTAATAAATGGCTGCTGAATTGTTTGTCTGAATACTTCAAAGCTTGGAAAATCAACAACCACATCACTGATTCCAACTGCAGACTATTCTATATTTACTCACATGTCAGAGGGAGATGAGCTCATCATCCCAAGCATTATCACATTATTAATAATGACAGGGATGATGATAATGATGATAGCCCCTTACATAGGAACATCACTTCATAATTTCTAGAGCACTTTCCAATCTGTTATCCCATTTGTGTCTCATAATACCCTCTGCAAAAAGCAGGACCAGGTATGCTCATGTTCAGATTATAGATGAGGAATGCGGTGATCAGAGAGGCCAAATGAGGTTTCCAAGTCATTCAGTTATCCAGAGGTAGAATTAAGACCAAAATCAGGTCTTCAGTCAGCCAAACCAGAGCTCAGCTGTGAATGATAACACTAAATGACTAAAACATCATGAAGATAATAATAAACAAAACCCAAGCCCTCCAAAATGGGAAAATTAAAAGAACCAGCTTCTCCTTGATCTTAATAGATGAGGTCTACTTCCAAGCTTTGTAATGGCAGAAGCAACTCAAACATTCAACCAGTAAGGAACTGGTCATAAGGGTTGGACCAAAGTCTTCCACTGAAATACAAGTAGGCTTTAAAAAGAATAGCACAAGTCTTTGAATACTGATATGGGAAGTTGCCCAAGATCCATTGCTGGACACAAAGGATAAAAACATCAGATTACAGATTAGCACATATGGTGTGATCTTATTCATATAGAACAGGGATCAGCTAACTACAGCCTGCAGGTTGCTGGTTGGCTGGTTTTGTAAATAAAGCTTTTGTTTACGTATTTTCTGTGGCTGCTTTAGCATTTCAGTAGCAAAGCTGAGCAGAGGCAACAGAGACCATCTGGAGTACAATATTTACTTTCTGGCCTGTTACAGAAAAAGTTTGCTGACACCTAATATAAAAGTTACATTACTTTATATCTATAGAAAATATCTGAAATGAGATAAATGGTTCATAATGGTACTTCAGGGGATGGTGGCATTGGGGCATACATTTTAAAGAGAATATCACATGCTTTTATATGATCTGAATTTTTTCATTAAACGTGTATTACTTTAAAAATAGGCAAAAATGAAGAAATCTGTGGCCAGTGGTGGGGTGGGGGTGGGGGTGGTAGCAAGTGTGGAAATCTGGTCATAGCTCCCACAGTGTTGTTTCCAAGGGCTTGAAAGAAAATATAGATACTGTTTAGTGACTTCCAAAAGAAACAGATTCACCTTGACTCTGAGTAATTTCTGAACTCTTTCAGATTCTCCAAGGCATGCTTTGAATTCTTCCTTCTGAAACACCCCTGACCCCACACTTGCACAGAGAAGATTTAGGGCTCTGTCTAAATGGCCTCTGCTCAGAAAGACCCTCACCAACTACAGTTCTGA